ACACGCCACCACACCCGGATAATTTTTATATTTTTAGTAGAGACGGGGTTTCACCATGTTGGCCTGGCTGGTCTGGAACTCCTGACCTCAGGTGATCCACCTGCTTCAGACTCCAAAGTGCTTGGGATTACAGGCATGAGCCACTGCTCCCGGCCAGACTAATGCACTTTTAATATATGTCTCTGCTTTTAAAACTTTAGAGCAGGGTCCCAGACCATTCTGTTCTTGCTACATGCCCAGCACGTGGAACATAGCAAATAGAAGTGCTCAATACATATATATGTGTGTATACATAACTTTCTTTAGAAAAGGTAGGGAAGTGAGTTCTGTGCACAACTATGAGAAATCACAATGTATGACGTAAAAAAAAGCTGCAAGATTAAAATATGAAAATTAGTTCCCCTGAATTGGAAAAGGCAGCACCATAGGCACATGTGACCACATGCCTACAATTTCATTTTTTGCTTCTACCAGTGGAATGATCATAAGAATATTGAACTCTAAACCATGGTAGTAGGAAGGCTACCTAATGTCTACTTTGGAATTCATAGTAAAGCAGGACACAAGAGTTTAAGATAGTAAAAGAAGAACAGGACCAAAGTTTTTGACACCAAATAAATGTATGAAGATGAAAATTGTAGACCTAACAGACCTGGGTTGTTTTAGGGAATGATGGGCAAATGAGCTGCCCTGGGCTAATGGGCAAAGCAACCTGAGAACAGAGTTTCTCACACCATATGTGAGGGACCAGCCTTAACCCCTAAATTGTACTCTGCCAGACATACTATATATACACATACACGTTTTGTTATATATATATATTATGTATATATATATATTACACACACACACATACTTAAATATTTTTTAATTTTTTTGTAATGATGGGGTGTCACTTTATTGCCCAGAGTGGTGTTGAACTCCTGGACTCATGCAATCCTGCCACCTTGGCATCCCAAAGTGCTGGGATTATAGGTATAAACCACTATGCCTGGCCTGTAAGATATTTTTTAAAACATTACTAGAAAAGTGATCACATATTGTCACAGTAATATAAAATTACTATAGAAGTTTCCAGACACATACAATTTGACCTCGAGAGATATGCTGAAGTTTTATCAACGTCAATCTGGCCTAAACTCTTGAATTTGTGTAAAAAGGATCTGACATTGTTTTACTACTCAACAATAAAAACATTCTGTAAGAAACAATTAGAGATAAAAGGTGCATAGCCTTGTCATTAACTTTAAAATACAACACTGCTTTGTCACAACGCCTAAAATTATCCTTTTGAATGCAACTTTAGCATTTAAGAATCTCAATGCCTATTAGTTTGAACATTTTGCCTTATTTTCCCATTTGTATTAGATTAAAATACAGAAGCTTAAAATGTATATGAAAACATGACCATGCATTGATTAATGATGGGAATAGGTTTTGAGAAATGGGTCATTAGGTGATATCATTGTGTACATACACAAACCTGAATGGTATAACCTACCACAAATATAGGCTTCGTGGAACAGTCAAATATTGCTCCTAGGCTACAAACCTGTATAGCATGTTACCATACTGAATACTCCATAATGCTATTTGTGTATCTAAACATAACATAGAAAAGGTACAGTAAAAATAGTGTTACAATGTTACTGGCCCACAATCCTATATGTGGTCTGCTGCTGACCAAAACTTCCTTACAAAGCATGTGACTATATTTACTATCTACTGTAAACTCCTGTACCTTTGCCTCCAAACTTCCCCAACTGACTAACACAGTGAATCTAGGGAAAATTTCCATCTATTACTAGACTCATTACCAAAGGAAGTAAAATGGAGAAATGTTTGTCTGCCCGACCTATAACAAGCTGAGGTGATTTTACTATAGCCTGTTAAGCTGTACCCTATGGAGAAAATGTTATGTAATTATTGTCTCTGGAACCAAATTTCCAGAATTCAAATTCACCCTTTGCAATTTACAAGCAAAAGTTACTTAAATTCTCAGTAACAGCACCTACATCTCAAAAGATTAATTCTGCAGGTTAATGTGCATGTAAAGTGACTAAACTACTGTCTGGCACATAAATTATTACTATGTAAGTGTTATAATTATTTAATTGCATAGTATGTATTAAATCCTTCTGTAGAATTGGGATAATAAACATTAAATTCATTAAATGAAACGTCACATTCCTACAATAAACTGCTATTTGCCCGTTAAAGCTTATTTCAATTCTCTATTATGAAAATACATCTATTTGGGCCGGGTGCGGTGGCTCACGCCTGTAATCCCAGCACTTCGGGAGGCCAAAGCGGGCGAATCACCAGGTCCGAGATCAAGACCTGGCTAACACAGTGAAACCCTGTCTCTACTAAAAATACAAAAAAGTTTGGCCAGGCGTGGTGCGGGCGCCTGTAGTCCCAGCTACTCGGGAGGCTGAGGCAGGAGAATGGTGTGAACCCAGGAGGAGATTGCAGTAAGCTGAGATAGCGCCACTGCACTCCTGCCTGGGCGAGAGAGCAAGACTCGGTCCAAAAAAAAAAAGAAAAGAAAAGAAAAGAAAAGAAAAATTATCTTTTTAATCTATTTATAATATCCTGTTACACAGAGAGAAAAGAGTAAGTTGGAAAATAACATATAGCCTAATTTTATATGTAGAGAAGGTGCTAATAAAGTTATAAAAGTTGCAAATCACTGTACTATTTAAGTGGCAACTGCCAAAAGTGATTCAGAGTAATTTATTATCCTTTCTTGTCCCTAGGAAAAAGGTTTAAAATCATGATTCTAAAATGCTAATAACAATAATCAAATGCTACAAATCAGTTATTTCAAAAATTTAGAACTGTATACATTTAATGTGTTATTCCTCCTTTGCACCTAAAAGCTGATGTTTCTTAAAATTGGACTTCATTTTAGAATTAAGAAAATAGATCATTAACTTATAATAGATACACCACTTCGGTCCCACCCATTGCCAACATACCACTAACAGCATCACTTTTAAGCAAACTCTTGAAGTACTCAAAACTATACATATTAATGTAGACAGTAAGTCAGCTTAACCAATTCCCCAAGTTTAACTAGCAGATATTACATACAGTATGCTGAGATTATAATAATAATAAACACAGAAGATTCAGTATTTCTAGAATACTGAACAAGAGGTGTTTGTGGCATTGAGAGTACTGTGACAACCTGTGGTACCCTTTAAACTGCTTTAAAATTTTACAATGAAATCAGTGCTATTAATTTCATGTTTATTTCATACAGGGTTTTTGTCAAGTTTATCAGTTTTAAAATGATTAAGTCATAATCACCATTAAAAGACAAAATTTTCCTCTCAAACTAATAATTTCCATTCTGCTACCTACAGTTTGGCTTATCCTTTGGTCTGATAGCCATACTTCATTTCACAGGACTATACAAGTATGTACTATGTACAAAACATTTTCAAGTTTGCTTTCAAATGATACCTACAAAGAGTAGATCAAGTTTTCAAGTTTACAGAATACCATACTACAACAATTTACCACTATAAATATGTCTTAATACCTGTTTATTCCATTCTATTTAGATTGCAACACTAACAAAATTCTTAATGCATTATGTTCCCACCACCTGTACTTTCCCTACACTATCATTTTGACACTTACATAAAAACAACTCAATTCAGCAACCAAGTTTTACAACCACTGTTGCTACCAATCAAATGGTGATGCATCAGATCTCAATTCTCATGAGTATTAACATATTAAGAGAGTACACTATTTACCTAAGACTGAAGGACTGTGCCTTACTTTATAAAAAACAAAGATAGCCACATCAATTTAATTCCATATATATACTACCTATTCAATTTATTAAAAATTGTAATAAACATAATAATCAAACTAGTGCTCCAAACTTATGCTGTTCACATGGAAGACACCACAAAAGAAGACATAATATAGAGACTGCCTTGCAATAAGAAGTACAAATTCCTTCTATAAAGATGGAGAAATAAAAGGACAAATCTAGTTGTCTAAAAGACAATTCACTGTACACATTTTATTTACAGTTTTGTACACTGTCTTAATATGAATGGGACTGCTTTTCTACTTGAGCCATTTTTAACCAAAGCAAAATAACCTAAGTAATACAAAGTGTTAAAATACAGCATAAAGATACAAAAACAGACATACTAATTCTAGTTAGGAATGTAATTATGATGTTACATTTTTTATAATCCACAATTATGTTTAGGAAATCACACAAACATAGATCACTGATTTGAATGAAATGCATAAATTTGTAGCAAAGCTTTGTAGTTACAAAAAACAAAAAAAATTACCAAAGAATGCACAAAATTAATGTTTATTCCACCTTTGTGTCATATTCCTGAATCCTTCACCAATGTTACATGAGGAAAAAAAACAAAAGCAAAACAAATGAAAAACTGAAATCAGAATCACTAATATTATCAAGTAGGGAAACAAATAAATTAAAATCTAGCAGCCATCAGCAAGAGTACAGCAAAGACAACGCTGTAAAAAGAAACAAAGAAAATTGCTAGAAAACTGTATGCATCATAATCTTTCAAACCAGCAAAATATGCTCCTGCATACAATGGAACAACAGAATTTTCTTTCCTGTAAAGTACAGTAATGCCAAGTTGTCTTTTGACTATTGTGGATAGGTAGTACAGCAAAGACAATGCTGTAAAAACAAAGAAAATTGCTAGAAAACTGTATGCATCATAATCTTTCAAACCAGCAAAATATGCTCCTGCATACAATGGAACAACAGAATTTTCTTTCCTGTAAAGTATAGTAATGCCAAGTTGTTTTTTGACTATTGTGGAGAGGTAAAATCTGTATGTAATTAATGGTAATTCTACTGAAGTATTACAGAGTGGGCCAGGAACACATTTATGGATTCTGGGGATGTGTACTGTAATTCTTTGATTGGGATAGTGGAAACTTTAGCCAAAAAAAAAAAAAAAAAAAAAATGAACACAGAAGTACAAGACAAAGGCGAATGAGACTTCTCTTATATCTTAGTAACATTTAGATGGAAATCAAATTTAAATGCAGTCCACTCTGCTTTTTGAAGAGGCTTTGGTTCAGCTCCCAAATCTCGATTGCTTGACGCAGTCTCCTATGAGAATACTCAGAAGGTGTCTTCTTAAACAACAAACCTATTTTTAGTGGTGGAGCCGCTCTTAGTAGCTGTGTCTGCATGGGACTGATAACCAATCACTATCTTTGGAGGAAGTCCTAACCTTTCCTTGTATACCCTCCTAGAAGGAAAAAAAGAAGAAAAAAGTAGCCATTAGTTTTTACTCATAAGAAGTAAATAAATTCAAAATTTCAGGGTTACTAGTCTTTGTATTAAAAAATATAGATGAGAGTACAATAGGAAATTAATTATACACCCTTTTCCTTTTAGCATAATTTACTTTTCATTTTTGCGATATTCTTGGATAATTACTTTTAAAATATTGAGAGCCAGTCGGGTTTATTATTACTAAATTACAGGAGCATTACTATATTATTATACTGTTATTTATTATGATACTATAATTATTACTAAATCAATAGTGAACAAAGCAAGGACAGTCCCTGAGCTCACTGTATTTATAGTCTAGTAAACACAAAATCACAAATACATATGACGGACCTGTATTACATGCATACTTAAAACAGAAATATGTATAACAAACATGTTTATTTTCATTCTTTGATCTAAAATGCTACATTTCACGTCTGAACCCTAGCAAATATTGTATATTACTACACAAATTATATTTACCATACCTGTTATAAGATTGCACAAACAAAAACTAAACACTTTGAGGGAGATTAAAATGAAACACTTCAAGGGAGAAAGTAATTTCTGCTTTACATACTAACTTTACAACCTAATTTTCAAGTAAGACATGACTCTATAGCAAGAATAAAATGGCACTTGTCATGAGTGCCAAAGAGTAAATACAAGGGCTGTAATAACAAGGAGATTCTAATCTCATCTACAAAATTAGAGAAGTCTTCCCCTTTAAATATCACAAGGTCAAAAGGATAATGTTAAGATAATGAGCACATCTGAAAGCTGAGAAATAAAAATCAGGCTGTGTGACTATGGCTTGTAAGTAAAGTGAATATGAGATAAAGCTGACAAGGTTTCAAAGAAAGATCACAGAAAACTTCATAGGTCACCTTAAAAATCTGAATCTTTAAGAAAAAATAGTAAAAATTGAAAAATAAGCAAAATCAAATAAAAATAAAGGAATAAACATATTAATGGAGTTAAATCCTCCAACACGATACTAGGATAGTTTTTTTTAATACCTTCCAGGAGATTTACTACCTTCCCCCTAAAATAAGGCATTAAAAAGTAATTTTATGGTAACTAAACTGATAATTATCAAATTTGCATTATAATACAATGCATTCCTTTCAATTATACTTAATTATTAAAAATACCAAAAGCCATGACCATTGAGTCATGCAAATTGGAAGGGTTAAAAAAAGAAAATCTTTGTTTGAAAATCTGAAGTCTTAATATAGACTCAAAAACATTTAATAGTGACAAAAATAAAAAACTTCCATAGGAAAAAAATTCTTAATTAATCTAACTCTTGTTTTTAAAAAAAAAAAAAAAAAAAAAGTAAGTCCTCCAAAATTAGGTTTTGATGCTGGCAGAAACATTAAAATAAGATGACAAATCAACTCCTTTCTCTTATGGAACCCCATATAGCATGAAATGTAGAAAATCCCTATACCTTTTGATCCAGAAATAAATTATGTTCACAGAGAAATTTACATGGCTGAGAGCAGTGGATCACACCTGAAATCCCAGCACTTTGGAAGGCTGAGGCAGGTGGATCACTTGAGCACAGGAGTTTTGACACCAGTCTGGCCAACATGGCGAAACCCTGTCTCCACAAAAACTACTGTAGTGGCTCAGGCCTCTGGTCCCAGCTATTCAGGAGGCTGAGGCAAGAGAATCACTTGAATCCAAGAGGTGGAGGTTGCAGTGAGCCGAGATCACGATACTGCACCCCGGCCTGGGCAACGGAGTGTGACTCTGTCTCAAAAATTAATTTTAAAAAGAAAAATTAATAATTTTTGAAAAATCACAAAGGGACAAACCAAACATTTTGTGACCACTGACTGACCAGCACTTAATTTTAACATAAAATTGTTAAGTCAATTTTTTTTTTTTTTTTTTTTTTCTGAGACGGTGTCTCACTCTGTCTCCCAGGCTGGAATGCAGTGGCCCAATCTTGGCTCACTGCAAGCTCCGCCTCCCAGGTTCACGCCATTCTCCTGCCTCAGCCTCCCGAGTAGCTGGGACTACAGGCACCCACCACCATGCCCAGCTAATGTTTTTTTTTTTGTATTTTCAGTAGAGACGGGGTTTCACCGTATTAGCCAGGATGGTCTCGATCTCCCGATCTCGTGATCTGCCTGCCTTGGCCTCCCAAAGTGCTGGGATTACAGGTATGAGCCACCGCGCCCAGCGTCAAATATTACTAATATAATTGAGGTAAAAAGAAATCCTAGTTAGAAATGCCAGCTGGTTTAGCATGGTGGCTCATGCCTGTAATCTCAGCACTTTGAAAGGCTGAGGTGGTTTGATCAAGTCCAGGAGTTCACAACCAGTCTCGGCAACATGGCAAAACCTCTTCTCTACAAAAAATACAAGAGAATAGCCAGGTGTGGTTGTACACACCTGAGTTCCAGCTAATTGGGTGGTTGAGGTGGGAGGATCACCTGAGCCCAGGAGGTTGAGGCTGCAGTGAGCCGTGACTGCACCACTGCACTCTTGCCTAAATAACACAGTGAGACCCTGCTTCAAAAAAAAAAAAAAAAAAAAAGCCATTTTTGCAAAGAATAAAATTTACAAAAAAAGGTTTAATAAAACCCTACATGTGGGTTTTAAACATCGAACAAAAGCCAAAGTATGTTAAATTTTAATGAAAATTATATGTAGTAAACACACATGCTTTAAATACACATACACTATTTGCCAATAATCACTGAATTATTTATTATGAGCATACATTAGCTCTTTTCAAAGTAGTACTTTTTTTCAAACAGCACTTTCAAAGTAGGAAATAATACATTCTCATTTGTGAATGAATAAAAAATGCTACATGCCAAAGCAGAGTGTTCTAGTGGTTATATACTTCACTGCTAAGAAAAAGCAATTTTACAGAAATAAAAAACATGAACAAGGCCAGGCGCAATGGCCCATGCCTGTAATGCCAGCACTTTGGGAGGCCGAGGTGGATGGATCACTTGAGGCCAAGAGTTAAAACACCAGCCTGACCAACATGGCAAAACCTGGTCTCTACTAAAAATACAAAAATTACCTGAGCATGGTGGCACACGCCTGTATTCTCAGCTACTTGGGAGGCTGAGACATAAGAATCACTTGAACCCGGGAGTCAGCGGTTGCAGTGAGCCTAGATCATGCCACTGTACTACACCCTGGACAACAGAGTGAGACTGTGTCTCTAAATATATAAATAGCTGTGAAAAAACCCTCCAAAACATCTATATCGATATCTATATCGATATAGATCTATATAGATATAGATTAGATATATATGAACAAGACGTTGTGCACCAATTGAGCCGTTCAAAATTATAAAAGTGTTCCCGAAAACAATACAAGGAAAACAGGATCTACAAACAAAGTATTTCTAAAGCTACAAATAAAGTAACTTCTGGTTTTAGCCATCCTAATATTGTAAAATAAGTATGCAAAGAGCAAAACTTACCCTATATGTGTAACAGCTTCTCTGTTTTCACATTCAGTAGTCCATATTGCTATCTTATCACCTTTAGCTCTAACATTAACAACAGCGCCACATACATCATCACTGTAGTCATCAAAAGATTCTCCAATAAGGCACAGCAGCTTAAAAGAAAATCCCAAATTACGTTTAATAGATTATAAACAAGCTTATTACACTGCAAATTTCTCTTCTATATTCGCGTAGATAACTAAAGACAATTTTTAAATCTAGTTAATTTTTTAAATGTGTAAATTTTATTTGCATATATAGATCTATCCTGACTCTTAAATACCCATTCATTTATTTACTATCAAATCATTAACAGTTGTCTTCACCTTTTTCAGCAAATTTGGCAGTTAATATCGTGGCAGACATAAAAGCTGATTTTATTAATATTCATTTGCTCTGCTGCTGCTTATATTTACAAGCAAACAAATATTAATAGAATAACAAAAATAGCTATTCATGGTTAATTTCTTCTTGTTCTTATTTTTTCTGAATATTTGTTAATGGTTTGGTTTTTTGTTGTTGTTTTTTGAGACAGCGTCTTGCTCTGTTACCCTGGCTGGAGTGCAATGGGACCATCACAGCTCACTGCAGCCTCAACCTCCTGGGCTCAAATGATCCTCCCACCTCAGCCTCTTGAGTAGCTGGGCATACACACAGGGACATGTCACCATACCCAGTAAATTTTTGTATTTTTTGTAGAGACAGGGTTTTGCCACGTTGCCCAAGTTGATCTTGAACTCCTGAGTTTAAGTGAAATGCCTGCCTTGGCCTCCTGAAGTGTTGAGATTTCAGGTGTGAGCCCAGCCCTAACGGGTTTCTTAATTGTGGTAAAACACAAATAACATAAAATTTACCATTTTAACCACTTTTAAGTGTACAGTTCAGTGGCGTTAATACATTCAACATTGTTGTACAACCATCACTACTACCATCCATCTCCAGAACATTTTTTTTAACTGAAAAATGGAAATATCCTGACTTTTTAATGTGGAATTCCAAAATGATATTTGCTGATGATCTTCGCCCTCAAAAACAGAATTTTCTTCTTAAAAAGTCATTCATTCATTAGCTCTGTGTGCTGGCATGCACCTGTAGTCATAGCTACTTGAGAGGCTAAGGCAGGATGATTGCTTGAACCCAGGAGGCTACAGTGAGCTATGATGGCCCCACTACACTCTAGCCTGGGCAACAGAGCAAGACCCTGTCTCTAAAAAAACAATAGTCACTTATTCAAATATTTAAAGTGATTAACTCAACAAGTGCTAACTATAAACCAGGCACGGTTTCAAGTGCTAGGGATACAAAAGAGACTACAAACCCCGCTCCTATAAGCTTGGGGTTTGGAACCTCTGTCGACAGAAAATGCCTATTATCTCATATTTAATTTGTCTTGTAAAGCCAAAAGTTCCAGTTAATATCACAACATGTAGGTTGAATGGTAGTACACAACAATTTTATTGTTTGCTTCACTGATCTAAAAAGTTTAGTGGGACAGGCACAGTGACTCACACCTGTAATTCCAGCACTCTGGGAGGCTGAATGGGAGGATCACTTGAGGCCAGGAGTTTGAGACCAACCTAGGCAACACGGCAAGATCCCACCTCTAGGAAAAAATTTAGAAAATTAGCTAGCCATTGTGGCATGCACCTGTAGTTCCAGCTACTTAAGAGGCTGAAGTGGGAGCATCACTTGAACCCACAGGGTGAGGCTGAAGTGAGTCATATAAATAAATATCCGCACTCCAGCCTGGGCAACAGAGCAAGACCCTTACTCTAAAAACATAAATATTTAAAAGTTTAGTATACATATAGCAATGCTGTAAGAGGGTTGCAAAAACTTCAATCATATAAAATGTAAGGTTCTATAATTTCGAAGTTAATGAAATGACCACAGTGAGCTTATTGTGGTGAGAGTCACACTGCCAATCACTTAAAATATCTGACTTATAATGTGGTAGGATGTTTCACTGTACTATAAACAGGAGTCACATGACAGAATGAAAACAATTACTGACCCTGATTTTCTAGTGTTGGGCATCCTTCTCTTAAATTAAGTAACAAATGTAAAACATAACATATCTTAAGTTTCAGTATTCCCAAACTACCTCTAAAACTGCTTTATACTTTTAAAACCTTACTGTCTCTAGCCAAAAGCGATCAAGGTCACTTCGTCTCTGCTGTTTGTTCAATGTAATTAGCCATCGTCCTCCCCGTTTGTTTTTCTCATCTTCCCACATAGGCTCAATACCATCCTACAGGGTTAGAAGACAACAGTATTACACAATATTGTTACCTTGACTTTGAGAGATAATCATTAAAAACAGTAAGCAACAACACTGTCAACTTCTTACTTTATTGCCCATAAAACTGCCATTGATGCAGTTTTTAAAAAGTGCATAAGACTTAAAGCCAGAAGTATGACATTGCAGAATTAGAGTCCTGACTTTGTCACTTATTAGCTATCAAATCTTGAGTTTCACTTAATTTGAAGGTTCTTAAACTTTCTGAGTAGCAAACATGTTTTAGAAGCTCTGTACATTTCTATACCTAGAAAATACATGCAAAAACTATGCAGTTTCAGTTAATGAATGTCCCGTCCCCCTACCACCTGACAAAGCCCAATAATAAGTATTCCAAGGACCCATGCTCCTAAGGTTAAGAATGCTTGATAAACTTAGTCTGCTCAAATATATAAAGGAGTAGACTGGAAAATCAAAGCTCTCATCAAAATCAATCTCAGTATGTGCCCACAGAATAACTCTCTCTCAATTTTTATAAACAAATAGAGTAAGATATATTGATACTAAAGCATACTACAGCCAATTAAATTATCAGCCTGTTCTTCACACTATCAAGTACTCCTAAGTTTATGGCAAGATTTCTTAATGAATACCAAATGGCCCAGTCCTATAATAAATATATAAAATCACCAATTAAGCATACCTTAAAAAGTGAGTAGTCACAGCCAGGCATTAAATTACTAGACAGCTGGATATGGTTGTACAGACTAGGTAAAAGAAAGTAACAATTAAAAACACAGAACATGTAATATAGAGTTCAGGTGCTTACATATATATACATTTAGAACATATGATGAAAATAAACAGATAAAAGTTCATGTTTACTTGTTTCTAAGGAGTCAATTTCTAAAATGGACAAAACAGATCTTAAAAGCAGTTAAATAATCAACTTTAGATGAAAGGTATAATTTTCAAAAAATTTCTAGTGACTGCTCTGACAAAAATATATTTTATATGTTAGTTAACTCAGTGCATACATATGTATATATATAAGAAACTGAGAAGAGAGGTATAAGGTGGCTTTAAGTAGATGAAGTAATTTCTGAAGTTAATCAACAGTTTTTTTCACAAACATAAAAAAAATAATAACAGAAAAGATGAACTTCCTGACCATCAGGATTGCATGACTGAAACAGTTGATTATTATCCTCGAGGGTATCCAAGAGTAAAATAGATCAATGGTTCCCAAACACCACAAATTGTCACTGGTTAGTCAACATAATAATCATTTTAAAAATGATTTTAGAAAAATAAATAAATAAATAAATATAGTTCCAAGCCCTACCTCTTGGGATTATAATCACCTAAATATGAGATAGAACCCTGCAGTCTGTATTTCTAAACTATTTCCCAAATATCAAAATAGCAGAATAACATTTGCAGTGACTTAGTTGCTTGCCTGAAGGCAGGAGGCTTAGACCATTTGATCTCCTGTAGTCTTTTACAGCAAAATTGATTAAAAAATTGGCAACTCTTAAGAATCTTTTGCCTGTCTCCAATATTAGATGGCAGAAATAATGAACTTAGCTGTGTCTACAGACCATGGATGATTCTATTATCCTTAGTCTGGTTCTCCTGGTGCTATATTAACCCCATCTAGGAATATTTCAGGAAAAGATTTAAGGGCCGGGCGCAGTGGCTCACACCTGTAATCCCAGCACTTTGGGAGGCTGGGGCAGGCGGATCACGGGGTCAGGAGTTCCAGACCAGCCTGACCAACATGATGAAACCCCATCTCTACCAAAAATACAAAAATTAACCGGGCGTGATGGCATGCGCCTGTAATTCCAGCTACTCGGGAGGCTGAGGCAGAAAAATCGCTTGAACCCAGGAGGTGGAGGTTGCAGTGAGCCGAGATTGCCCCATTGCACTCCAGCCTGGTGACAGAGCTAGACTCCATCTCAAAAAAAAAAAAAAAAAAAGATTTAAGACAGAAGTTGGCATTCTCTAAATGAAATTCCATAGTATAACACACAAATAATAGTTTAGGTGAGACAACCTAAGATCACATAAGGTTTGTGAGTCACTACACCTCATTGTAACTCCCAACTACATCATCTATGACAGCCTCCCCTAGGCAACAAAAAAAGCCTGCATACTAAGTGACTATAAAATTAGCACTACTAATTTCATAAAATAAATGGATATTGTGGGAACGAACTTCAATAAAATATTTTTCTTTTTGCTGCCTCCTTTCTCTTTCGTGGTGCTCAAAGGTCTCTCAAGTCAGTCCATAATGAGAATTTATAATGGCACACCTAAACAGAATCCTAAGACTATGCAGTCTGGATAAATACAGAGGGACTCAATGGTTATTTGTAATAAATTTGCTAGAAAAGCCAGAAATTAGGAAGTGGCCCACACATTTACAGAACATTGAAAAATCCTTCATATCTCTAAATTATGGTATAAAAATCTACTATGCAATGACACTGACTACACATAACTGAAGTGTTGAGGCACTGTTCTAATTGGTACAATTACGTAAACTGGTAAAAGCCAAACAAACTAGATAAATGCAAATCTGACTGGGGAACGTGGCTCAAGGCTTCCTTTTCCTCTGTAGGAGAATGATGAGTTTTTGGTGCAGAAGAGTTATTTAAGAGTTCTGAATAAACACAATTAGAGAAGAAAAACTACTTGATGTTTTGATGATGGGCAAAGAATAACCCTAGTTTAACTAGACAACTAGACACTTATAAATTATTAGGCCTTAAATGTAGTTACTATTAAGTGTAATGCTTTTAATAAAAAATAAATACTCTCAAAGTTTACTCTCAAATGAATGTTCTCAAATACTCTCAAAGTTTATAGTTTTAACTGTATGCTTTGCTTTTTTCAGCAACACAAATGAATACAAAATACCTATTAGAAGTCAAGCACTGGAAATACAGACAAAAATGTTTCTGCTGTTGAAGATGTATGTATATATGTATAAATTTTATACCACAATCTATTCCTTTGTATGAGCAGAATATCTTGAGGGAGTTACATTAAAACATAAGAGTAGCATCACTAATTCGGCATGTATATGATCCTAAAAAAAGATGTACAAGTTAGAATATTTAAATAACTGCTAGGTAATTTAAAGCACTTATTAAAAAGTTTTGCCTTTCAGGGTCTCACATAGTACCTCCCTACTCATTCTCCAAGTAAATTTGACACACTGGATTAACTTTGTTTTTAAGAGAATCAATAATCAAAACTTCTTGAAATAGACTTTACAATTTTTAATTTTATTTATTTTATAGAGAAACAGGGACTCATGTTGACCAGGCTGGTCTTGAACTCCTGGCCGCAAGTGATCTTCCTGCCTCAGCATCACAAAGTATTAGTATTACAGGCATGAGTCACTGAGCCCAGCCTTAAATTTTGTTTTGAGGTCATGCAAAAGTTGATGATCCCAATTCTTAACTTTCTGCTTATACAGAAACAAAATTTCAAAAATATTTCAACTATTCTTCTTGAGGTTGATCAAAGTATAATGAAATGAATAAAGTATCATGATAGATACTGGCATTCCCTTGACAAACTCTGAATTCTGAACACTGCAACCTTTGATATCGTAAAATCTCTGGTACAGGAAATTCCAGATGTTGCACTGAAAACAGTTTGCAGAAATGAGAACCCAACAATGCACTGGAATACCCAGTTATGAGGCAAATTTACCTTGGCAACCAAGAGAGGAACAAGTTGCAACTAGTTGTCAAAAGTTCTAAGGGCAATAAAGGATTCTTGAGCTAAGGATATCTCAGGACAAGAAACAGAATAATCAGGGCTAAGGGATGACAAGATTGAAGCTTTGTAAAACTAACAAAGCATAATCACCAGTTCAAACTTTTGTGAGGAGATAAAAAAATAGACGAACATTCATTAACTGTTTACCTCACACTTCATTTTGTGAATTCGACTTAAAAATAAACTACACAACTAATAAAAAAACCAACATACTAAAACAAATGGTTACTTACGCCCAAAAGTCTTCAACAGTATCAAACTTAGAGATCAGCCGCAGGTTTGCTTGCCAAGTTTTGCTTTTATCATTTTTAAAAAACCAGAGTGCCCATCTAAAAATAAAAAGTCAACGTCAAAAAATGGTAGCTGCATCCCCATGTTAAAAGCAACATTATTCACAACAGTCAGAAGGTAGAAGCAACCCAACTGTTCATCAACAGATGAATGAAAAATGTATATATATACACCATGGAATACTAAAAAGCCCTGATGAAGGAAATTCTAACACTTGATAAAACATGAGGGGAAGCTAAGGACATTAAGTGAATAAGCCAGCCTCTCTCCAAAAAAAAGATAAATACTATATGATTCCACTTTTATGAGGGATAAGAAGTCAAATTCACAGAAACAAAAAGATGGTGATTGCCACTAACCAAGGAGAAGGGAGTTTAGGGTTACAGAGTTTACAGAGTTTACAGATTTTTGGAAGATGAACAAGAGTTCTGGAGATTAGTTGTACAATAATTGGTTGCAGAAAGTACTTAACATTAATTGAACTGTACACTTACAAATAGTTAACACAGTAAATTTTATGTTTACCACAAAAATTTAGGGAAAAAAAAGTAAAATGCTGGTTGTTATTACAGTGGCAAATAATGAGAGTTCTCCATTTCTTTCATTTAAAAAATATGTATTTTATGTCTACTACATAACAGATTCTCTGCTATACCTAGGGACCCAAGACACACTGAAACTCATCACTCAATGGAATTCATAGAGATGAGGCAGAGAGACAACTACAGTGTGCTAAGTGCTATGACAGAGATAAGCAAGCACAATTATTTAAGAAAAACACGGCAGAGCTGGGCGCGGGTGGCTCACACCTGTAATCCCAGCACTTTGGGAGGCTGAGGTGGGTGAATCACCTAAGGTTGGGAGTTCAAGACCAGCCTGACCAACATGGAGAAACCCTGTCTCGACGAAAAATACAAAACTAGCCAGGCATGGTGGTACATGCCTGTAACCTCAGCTACCTGGGAGGCTCAGGCAGGAGGCTGTGGTGAGCTGAGATCGCGCCACTACACTCCAGCCTGGGAAACAAGAGTGAAACTCCATTTCAAAAAAAAAAAAACACACAGCAGAAACACTTAAACTATAAAAGAAGGCAAGGGGCCAGGCACGGTGGCTCAAACAGGTAATCCCAACACTTTGGGAGGCTGAGGTGGGCGGATCACGTGAGGTCAGAAGTTCGAGACCAGCCTAGCCAACATGGTGAAACCTGGTCTCCACTAAAAATACAAAAAAAATTTAGCCAGGCATTGTGGTATATGCCTGTAATTCCAGCTACTCATGAAGCTGAGGCACAAGAATCACTTGAATTCAAGAAGCAGAGGTTGCCATGAGTCGAGGTTGTGCCACAGCACTCCAGCCAGGGCAACAGAGGGAAACTGTCTCCAAAAAAAAAAAAAAAGAAGGCAAGAAACAGGATGGCTGATATTTCTCAGAGGAACAAATTAGCCAAGAAGAAACGAGAGTGCCAGGAGTGGGGAAACTATTAAATGTGACTCTATATTTAATCAAACACCTAACTGGGAAAATAGTAAAGATTGAGTAATGCTGCATAGATATGTACTGAAACAATGTATACTAGTTTTAATATATCTGTAGATACTTCTCTTAAAATAGTTTTATTCCTACATAATATATAATAGCTTATATATACCTAACATTATATATAGAGGCATACCTTGGATATATTGTGAGTTCAGTTCTAGATCATCATAATAAAGTGAGTATCACAATAAAGGAACTATCTTTATGGAGAGTCACACAAATTTTTTGGTTTCCCAGTGCATATAAAAGTTATGTTTACACTATAGTCTACATTATGTCTGAAATAGCATTATGTCTAAAAAACAAAAAGTACATACCTTAATTAAAAATTCTATTGCTAAAAATGCTAATGATCATCTGAGCCTACAGACAGTGGTAATCTTCTTGCTGATGGAGGGTCTTCCCTTGTTTATTGCTGCTGACTGATCAGAGTAGTGATTGCTGAAGATTGGGGTGGCTGTGGCAATTTCTTAAGACAACAATGAAGTTTGTCACACTGATTGACTTCATTTCACAAAAGATTTCTCTGTAGCATGCAATGTTGTTTGTAAGCATTTTACACAGTAGAATTTCTTTCAAAATTGGAGTCAATCCTCCCAAACCCCGCAGTTGCTTTATCAATTCGGTTTACGTAATATTCTAAATCCTTTGTTGTCATTTCAACAATGTTCACAGCATCTTCACCAGGAATAGATTCCATCTCAAAAAACCTTTTTTTCTGCTCACCCATAAGAAGCAACTCCTTATCCATTCAAGTTTTCTCATGAGACTGCAGCAATTCAGTAACATCTTCAGGCTCCATTTCTTACTGTACATCTCTCGCTCTCTGCACCACATCCACAGTGACTTCTTCGAACCCTTCAAAGTCATCAATACAGGCTGGAATAAGTCTTGTTCATGCTGATGTTCTGACCTTCCATGAATCATGAATGTTCTTAATGACATTCAGAATGCTGAATCCTTTTGGAAGTTTTTCAATTTACTTTGTTCAAATCCATCAAAGTCATCACTATCTACAGCATTTATAGCCTTATGAAATATAGTTCTTATTAATAAATAATAAGGCTTGAAAGTTAAAATTCCTCTTTGCTGCTCCACAGGCTGCAGAAAGTACGCTGTGTTAAGAGGCATGAAAACAATTCATCTCCGTCAGAGCTCTTGGGTGACTAGGTGCATCATCAATGAGCAGTGATATTTTGAAAGGAAACTTTTTTCTGGGCAGTAGGTTTCAACAGTAGGCTTAAAGTATTCAGTAAACCATGCTATAAATCGATGCACTGTCATCCAGGCTTTGCTGCTCCATTTCCAGAGCATGGGCAGAATGGATTTAGCATCATTCTTAAGGATTCTTAGGATTTTGGGAATAGCAAATGAGCACTGGCTTCAACTTAAAAGTCATCAGCTGCAAGATCCCCTAACAAGAATCAGCCTGTCCTTTGTAGTTTGAAGCTAGGCACTGACTTCTCTCTAGCTAGCAAAGTCCTAGATGGCATCTTCTTCCAGTAGAAGGTTGTTTTGTTTACAATGAAAATCTGTTTTTAGTGTAAACTTCCTTCATCAATTACCTTAGCTAGATCTGGATAATTTGCTGCAATCTCTACATCAGCCCTCGCTGCTTCACCTTGTACTTTTATGGGGGTGACTTCTTTCCTTAAATCTTATAACTGACCTCTGTTAGCTTTCAACTTTTATTCTGCAGCATCCCCACCTCTCTCAGCCTTCATAACGTTGAACAGAGTTAGGGCCTTGCTATGGATTAAGGGAATGTTGTAGCTGGTTTTATTTACTACCCAGACCACTTGAACTTTCTCCGCATCAGCAATGAGCCTGTTTTGTTTTCTTATCATTCATATGTTTGCTGGAGCAGAACTTTTGATTTCCTTCAAGAATTTTTCCTTTGCTTTTACAACCTGGCTAACTTATTTGGTGCATGAGGCCTAGCTTTTGGCCTGTGTTGGCTTTTGACATGTCTTCCTCGTAAGCATAATCATTTCTAGCTTTTGATTTAAAGTGAGAGACATGCAACTCTTCCTTTCACTGTAACATGTAGGGGCCATTGTAGGGCTATTAATTGGCTTAATTTCAGTATTGTTGTGTCTCAGGGAATAGGTAGACCCAAGGACAAGGAGATGGGAATGGCCAGTCAGTGGAGCATTCAGAACACATACAACATTTATCAATTAAGTTGGCCGTCTTATATGGCCAATATTCATGGCACCCCAAAACAGTTACAATAGCAACATCAAAGATCACCGATCACAGATTATAACAGATACAATAAAGTTTGAAATACCGTGAGAATTACCAAAATGTGACAGAGACACCAAGTGAGCACATGCCATTGGAAACATGACATTAACAGAACTGCTTGACACAGGATTTCCACAAACCCTCAATTTATAGAAAAGGCATGATTTGTGAAGCACAGTAAAATGAGGTATGCCTGTATAATATTTTCTCTAATGCCTTGAAGATAAACTCGTGGAACATTAAAGTTACACTTTATCCCAAGATGATTGCCAAGATCATTCTCCTTTAGAAGAATTAAACTGAATATTCTGATTACAATACCAAAGGAAAGTCAAAGGGAAATTTCATTTTCTCATCAACACAAATGTTGTCTGAAGAGCCTTCCAAATTGAATATATATTTCATAATCCCATAATTAATACTCGGTAACCTCACCTAGACAGAAAAATGAGATGCATTTCAACACGTACTTGATAATTTGTCAGCAACTGCCACCCCATTATCAATAAAAAAGAAAAAGAAAATGCAAGAAAACCCCCAACGAGGTCAAGTACTACACTCTGGATTTTTAAAAATAAATTCCAAAACAAAAAAAACTCTGCACTCAGCCATTTAAACACATAAAGATCTACGAGGCCAGGCGAGGTGGCTCACACCTGCAATAACAGCACTCTAGAAGGCTGAGGCAGGAAGAACACTTGAGCCCAGGAGCTCAAGACCAGCCTGGGCAACATAGTGAGAGATTGCCTCTACTAGACATTTAAAAAATTAGCCAGGCATAGGCCAGGTGCGGCAGCTCACGCCTGTAATCCCAGCACTTTGGGAGGCCAAGGTGGGTGGATCATGAGGTCAAGAGATGGAGACCATCTTGGCCAACATGGTGAAACCCCATCTCTACTGCAAATATAAAAATTAGCTGGGCGTGGTGGCACGCACCTGTAGTCCCAGCTACCCGGGAGGCTGAGGCAGGAGAATCGCTTGAATCTGGGAGACGGAGGTTGCAGTGAGCCGAGATCGTACCACTGCACTCCAGCCTGGTGACAGAGAAAGGCTCCGTCTCAAAAAAACAAAAATTAGCTAGGCATGATGGCAAGTGTCTATAGTCCCAGCTACCCAGGAGGCCAAGGCGGGAAGATTGCTTGAGCCCAAGAGTTTGAGGTTGCAGTGAGCTATGATCATGCCACTGGACTTCAACGTGAGTGACAGAGCAAGACCCTGTCAAGGAAGGGGAAGGGGAGAGGACTGCTTG